GAAATCGCCAACGAAACAAAAATTCCACAGACAAGATGTAAAAGTTGGTCAAATAAAAATTGAGATGGTCTTCTATAAATTTGCACGAAGGCCCGTTTAAGTAATAAGTAAAATATGCATATTATATTTGGAGTATCTCGAGTTTCAGTAAAATTACAGATTCTATGGACTAGTGAAAGAATTATATTGTAAAAGAATAAAGAAAGTTCTAAAATTAAGTCAAAGATATATTCTATCATATTAATGAATAAAATTAATATATTTCGTATTTTGTGTTGATCTTGTGGTAAGTAGAAGGTGGATTGTGAGAAGTATCAAGCAATTGGTGGTAAGTAGAAGGTGGATTTTGAGAAATCTCAAGTAATTTTTCGTGAGCAGATGACATTTTTTTTTGTTATTCTAACACTTATAACACTTATTAGATTGATTTTTAGAAATTAAAAAAAAAAATAATAATAACGATAAAAAAAAGATAAAAATAAATCAACGTGGTTTAAATATTTATTAATTATTACTAAATTACTAACCTATTCATTCGCGAGTAGGGATGGCGAAGTTTTTTATTACGTAATTAAAAACAGGTGATGATTATTATCTGAATATATTTAAATCCAGATTTGACTATTTGGACTTAAATCATTGCATGTTTTAAAACGGTGAAAAAATGTTTTAAAACTGTTTTTTTTACCATCCCTATTCGCGATTAGTGAATCATAATGACTTCATAATATACGTAAACATGATTTAATTGAATTTTAATTACAGCAATACAATATCTTAAAGTTATATATATATATATATTCATATATTTTCTAGTGAATAATTATATTTATAAACGATATGAACAGCTAAAATGTAATCCAACAGTGTGGTGGCAGAAAAAATTCGTGATCAGGTGATTTCCGAACCCCTCTAACCAAAGATCAGGTGTACCAACAAAAATCTAAGTACCATTTCTAACCCTAACCTAATAGTACGAAATTTTATTTAAAAATTTTTGGTGACGATTTAACTTAGGTCGATAGGGTTCGGAAATCACCTGATCGCGAATTTTTCTGTCACCACTATCTACTATGTTAGTTAAAAAGTATGCAAAACAAATATTTCATATTGTTTGTATACACTATCAAAAATTATTACATATTAATAGATATTAACAAAATGTCCGATTATCTGCAGTGATCACTGTCTCAATAGCACTCCAAACGCATGCTAATAGCATTCAAAAATTTTTCAAAATCATTATTAAAGAGTTTCCAATCACTGAAAATAAGAGCTTTTAATGATTTATATATTACTAAGAAGTTTAATCGACTGACTTGAGGCTTTCATGAACATATTCAGCACGAAAAACCTAGAAAGAACCAAATTCAAAATTTTATTAACTATATTATTTGTAACTATAATGAGTATAAATATTTAATCTTTATACCTTAATTTCTAAAGTGCTTTGATCAAAGAACAATTGCGACTTTCCAGTATCAATATTGTATGGAAAGACGATAGTTCCCTTTCAGATTATACAAAATAAAATAAATTTGGAAACATACAAAAAAAAATAAAATAAAATAAATTTAGAAACATACAAAATAATAATAATATATATATATAATATATATATAAATGAAATGAAAGATATATATAATACCAAAAATCGGCCATAAAGAGGTTTTTTATCCCAATCGTTGTCCATGATTATTAGAACGTCGCCTCCACGAGTGTCATCTCTACACATATCAACTATTTATTTTGCAGAATTATGAAAATTAAGTAAAATATTATATACACACATGAACTCGGATATAATTACAATGCCAGTTATAACGAGACTCTTATGCATATATTCACAAAGTATCTTGAATAATCTATTATCCTACCATTAATATTTTCCATACGAAAACCAGGAAGTTCCACTTATAAATAAATATCAAAGAAATAAAAATATTAGCAAAAAAAATATATTGTAAAGCAAAAAAATCATACAAACATTATAATGATACCATGTATAACAAGTTCACCATCAATTTCGTTAACTAGTTAAAAGATCAGAGGAATCAATTAAATAGGTAATAAAGCAACAAGTACAGTATAAAAACACACAGTATAATCAATTAAAAATACCATTAACAATTTGTTTCTGATTATCATATGAAGTTGAAGACCTTTCACTAGAAGGACATTCTTGCCATTCATAATAAAAATCAGTAAAAACTCGTAATAAATCATTTTTAAATCTTTCAAGAGAGTTTTCGAAAAAGTCATCAAAGTCATTATTAGTCCAATTGCAGGAATCATCTAAATAATTGTTGGAAGGTGATGCTACAACAGTTTTATCATCGGGTGTATCCCAGGTAGAAGTTTCGATCGTATTATAATTGTCAGGCCAAGGTACATAATTAGAAGAAGCATCATCATTAATATTCCAACTATCGTTATGATTATTCAAATTATTATCGTTATTTGATATTGTGTCAACATCCATCTTTCAAAAATTGTTACTACAAAAATATGTTAAAAGGATAAAAAGACCAATTTTTTTTTTTTTTTGAATGAAAACTGATATAGAATTATTGATAATTAGAATTATATAATATAATATATAAATTATATAAAATTACGAGCTTGAAAATTCAGATGACGAAAAATAAACTTATTTATTGTATATAGGAATTATTATAAAAGGAGGAAGTCATGTAATCTTAAAAGTATCTTTGAATTTTAAAATATATTGTTAATTATGTATAATATAATGGTAATATATAAAAATTTTCAAATATAGATCAATGGATTCTCACCTGGAATTTTAAGAAGGGATTATCATTATCTGACACACAAAGAAGAAATTTATACGGTATTACACCAGTAAATCACAAGGCAATGATTATCTTGCTGCCTGAACCAAATTTAGAAATACTGTATTTATCGTTATTCTTCGTTATTTAAATCTATTATACGTAGACTTTTAATTTTCAAAGAGGAAAATATAATTATCGATATAAAAAAAAAAAGATTATAGATTATTGGCAGTAACTGGTTACATGTGAGACCGTATAAATTTATTGATTGAACCCTGCTCCCAACTTGCTGATCTAATAATTACCTTATTTGATAAGATAAAAACAACAAAGTTTGGTTTTATGATACTCAATTTGTGCAGTTATCCAATAAATTTATCAAAATTTGAATCTGAAATAGTCCATACAATAATGGTGCTAATGGACCTTGGCATACTAAGCAAGTCGCACAATTTTTCATTTATATGACCATAATAGGTCTCCTATTATTAGGAAATTTTATTTACCGATAGACGATTGTCAATGCTAGTGACTATACAACGGTTTCTTATCTAAATATATACTGTAGATTTGAAATATTAATTGGGATAACAGATAACTTGTATAGAGTCAGAATATTTTGTTAATTTCTATAAATAATGATGAATTTTCTACAAGTTGATTCGGATCGGGATCCATCGAATTAGGGTCGGCAACCTTGCATTAAAAATACTAACCAACTATGTCTATAGATTTTTCTTAATGAATGGACTATGATTGTGTGTGTTCAAAAGATGCTAACTGAAACAATCTACCTCGGAATATTAAACCATATGTAAGAGTCATATGCCAGGGTACCTAAACGCCATTCTTTATATTTTTCTAGTCCCATTACGTAAACGTGTTATGGACGAACGTACTAGATATATCAAGAGATGGTTTGCGTAAAACTATGTAAAGATCTTCAATTGGATATAATCAAATATACGCCCAAACAATTGATACAAAAATATATTCTCCACCACTCCACTCACCTTTTACATCATTTCTTATGCTCTTCATTACATACTAGACATATTTCTGAGCAATTAAAATTTATTGCAGCAGTTAAAAGATAAAGAAGGAAAACGCTCCCATCATACCATTTTAATAATACGAGCTCGCTTTTCTTCTTGATTATCAGGTAAAGTAAAAATGGGAGGTCGGGATTTGTTAGATGTACTTATCTGAGATATAGATGATACACTTATCTCGATTTTTGGTAAATCAGAAGAATCAAAATTTGAAATTGTGACTTAAACCCTTGGGGTTGGAATTTTTTAGGTTAGTATTAATTTATGTTCCTTGTATCGGTATCGATTTTTTTACTTATTTCTGGTATCAAATAAAAATATGAATTTTTTTGCCAAGCATTTTTTACTTAGTTGAAAATTAATTTACCATAGTAAAATTTTACACTATTTGCTTTTGTTAAAAGTTCAGATGCCAATTTTTTACTTGGCATTTAAAATTTAATTCTGGATAAAAAGCTGTTATAATAAAATTAGGGAATTGTTATTGCCACCTCCTATTTTTGCTAATGTCACCTCTCTAAATACAAAAAAGTGCTCCGGAAGAGATATAATTATTAAGTAAACCTCTTTTTTAGTATTAATTAAAGTTGTTTATTAGGTCTTTCCGGTTCTAATGGTAGTAAAATCATTAAAATCGAACTAGTGGTTCGTAAAATATTTATGTCTAAATTTTACAATATTTAATTAATTTTTAAAAAAGAACCACTGGTCCGATTTTAATGATTTTATCACCATATAACCAGAAAGACCTAACAAACAACTTTAATTAATACAAAAAACAGGTTTACTTAATAATTATATTTTTTCTGAAGTGCTTTTTGTATTTAGAAAGGTGGTATTAGCAAAAATAGAAGTGGCAATAACAATTTCTTAAAAATATCAATAATAATAATAATAATAATAGTGCAATTATAATAAAAGAATATAATAATAATAAATATGTGATAATAAATTTTTATTTACTATTTTACATAATTGATCTATTAATAGGAACAGATAATAGTTTAGTTAGTATAATTTAGATAGTATTAATACTAATATCAAGATATTTGATAGTTTAAATTACCTATGGTTAAACTATAGTATAAGTAGACAAATATAATTATTATAAAATTATAATATAAATAACTAATTATTTTAACTAATTTAAATTTAAGTAGAGTTAGAGTTAGGGTTAGAGTTAGGTTTATAGTTCAAATTAGCTTAAAATCGATAGTTTTTATATTATTATTTTATAATACTTATAATTTATCTACTTATATTATAGAAGATTCTTATCTATTATGTAGAAAATTAAAAATTATATTATAGATTACTAATATTATACTAAAAATTATCAAATAGTTAGAACTAATCAAGATTTATTATTAGGCTCAAATTACTATCTAATAATTTTTTTTAAAAAAATAATAAATCTTTATATATATAAATTAGTAAGTACAAATACATTAGTAATACAAATTAAAATATATGATGCAAAAGAAGCACTATATAATTTTAATTTTGTAAAAAAAGTCAAATCTTCTTTTTTTTTTTTTTTTTTTTTTTTTTAATAAAGGTAGCTTACTATACTGAACGGATTTTATTAGTTTAATATATGAGGTCATCTATTGACAATCTTCTACAGTTTGTAATTACATGAAGAGTGTATAACCTGCTACACATATAACTTTAGTTATTGTTTAATTTAAATAGTCTGCTATACAGGTAGATCACCTGTTTGGTTCTACACAAGCTGCTATATCTATAACTCGCTTGTGAGTTACTTATTTAAATACTCTGTTCATCTAACCTATACTAGAATCAACTAATATCACTATAACATTTAACTACTTAAGCCAACTAGCTTGTTGCAGATCTATTTACCTAACTTAGCTTAGGTTCTCTCAGAATACGTATTGCTCAACATATTGTAGCATACAAAGCTCCAGTTAATCTCGTAAACAATCCTACTAGAGCAGTTCGTACTCATTTCACAAATTCATCTAGCTTAGATCTTTGCAGATGTTCATACAACTTTAGTTCCTACTATAGTTCTCTACTAGTTTTTCTATATTCTATCTTCTTAATGTTTCATGAAGCAGATCCTCCTAATCTAGTTAGCTGCTAAGCCAAGTTGGTATTACCAATTCTCTCTGTAGAACAAATTTATACATATCTGATTTGATCAGTATATTTTGATAATAGTTTCTTTTCTGAATCAAGCATTAGCTTATGTGATCGTCAAAAGCAATACAACTTTACCAACTTGAGATTTCTACCATACAGGTCTCCTATTCATAGATCCTATTAAGATTTATTTGTGTAATATTATACTCTCTAAATATTTTATTACACTTCTAATATCTAAATAATATTGGTACAATATGATTTACAGGGTTACAAACCTAGAAATGAACAGGATTTACTGTAAGTTGGATACAAAGGTTTGAGTAATTATTCAAATTCGTTGACAGTGAGATTTGAACTTTAAACCTCTTGTATAGCAGTTTGGCAACTTAACTACTACACTAAGATCACCAGACAATCAAGTCAAATCTTCTTAAATTTAATAGTACAGATATAAATTACAAAATTATTACTTACAAAAACTTGTCTTATATTTACTAGTGATTATATCTTATAGTACAAGTTCTAAATAAATATTTTCTGTTTTAAGTTAGATTACTTAAAAAAAAAGAAGCAGATAATTAACTTAAATAATTTATATATATTATATATTAAATTAATATCTATATTAGACTAATTAAAGTTAATTAGTAAATTAATATTATTTTTTTTCTTCATTAACAGTTTTCTAAAATTAAATAAATCAATTATAGTACTAGATAATCTTTATAAATCAAGTAGTTTAAATTAGCTAATATTCTATAGCATAATAAGTATTTGTTTAAATCCTTTTTCTCTTTTGTATTTAAATCTAAAATATTAATATTAACTAATTAATTAACTTTAAATACTTTAAATTAAAATACTTATTTTAATATCAATATAAACTTTTATTTAATTTTAATAAAACTTTAAATTTTTAATTTGATAAACAATATATATATAATTTTTTTTTTTTTTAATAATTATATTATAACTTTATTAAATTATTAATTATGGCTATAGCCAAGTTATATATAATTAAAAAGTTATAATAATTAGACTCTTCCTAATAATCTTTAAAACCAAAATAATAATAAAAAGAAAAAACTTTTATACATATAATAATACTTTATTTTTTAATATAATATATGAGTGAAACTAGAAAAACTAGAAGTTTAATAAAATATATTCTATTATTAAAGAGTAGATTATAAGCTATTCATAAATTATTAACATTTTTATATATTATATATATTATATATTTTATATATATTTTATATATCTTATTATTGAAAACAAGCTCTTTAGATATAAAAGTTAAAGAAAATACTTAGATAGAGTTAAATATAATATCACTCTTTATACTTTTCAAGTTTATTTTAGATATTCTTACTTTCATTTCTAAACTTTTAGCTAGTCTTGAGAACAGTTTTAACTATTTGGTGAACTTGAAATATTTTTTGTACAAAAAGTAGAAAATAAAGCTCATCTTCTATTAAAGATTAGCATATATATTATTGATGAATTTGGAAGTAAACTTATAG